TTAGCCTTGCCATAAGCAGAACGATCTCCTGACTTATCCTCACTAACTTTGACTAGGAAAAGATCCTCACCCGAACCAAATTCACCACCACTTATACGGGGAGAGGCACCATCATCTAAGTTACATTTACTACCTTTGCCTTGAACACCATCATCAACCATGACGTCTTTTTTATCACCCCAAAAGCCAGCAGAATCATCACAGATGGTAAATTCTGCAATTTTGGCTTGTTGTAAGTCATTACCGTTTGTACCTTCTTTATGTTTGCTTACAGTTGTGTCAACAAGATATTCTTCTTCCTCTGATGATGTTCGAACAAGAACATCTGTACCTCTTCGCAATGAAGGTTTCTTGTCTCCCTTTTTCCCTTTAGGCAATTTGAACCATCCTTCACTCAACAAAGGCAGAGAAGATAGATTCTTTAGAAATGATGGCTTCTTTGGAGCATCTGACAACTTTTTCTTATCAGGTGTAGTCAATAATGACATGGCAATTACATTGGATATGAAAAGTTGACAGATAGCGCATTTGATTTGCTCATGTCTCTCAAAGGATGAAGCCTCAGTGAGACCTATCATTCTCTTGATCCCAAGAACTTTGCGCGCCAACTCTCCTAGTTCACACTGCTTATATTTGGGATTCTTGAAATACTTGGTGGCAATATAGCCAATGTCTACTTTATCTTTAGTCAAACCTAATTCCTCAAATGGGAATAAATCTTTCTTTTCTGGGATTCCAAAACCAACAAAACGGATCCTCTCATCCGTAAGAAATTTTAGGACAGGATCAGGTAGTTGTTCCCCAGAATGAAACCTGAGGATCAGACAACCTACTCCAAAACACAACAGAACCAAAATTATGGTGGGATCTCGAGGGTGGCGCATGACATCAAGGCCAACAACAGGTGGACGAACCCAAACCTTACCTTCTGGAAAAAGAAAATCAATTGCACATAAAGATTCAAACTCTTTGGCCTTATAGGTAATGCCCTCTAATTTAACCTCAAACCTATTAGTTCTCAAATATACCGTGCCAGCCATAGTTTGGTTTGATAAATGAGACGATCCTAGTACTGTTGGATTGGCATGACTATATGTAGAAAAGATTAGCAAAAGGATGAGTGTTCCATAGCATATACTACAGAAGGAACAGCTCCTCAAAGAAAATGAGATTTGAACCAATATTGCTGGGTAACCAAGACCAGAGACAGGCAAGAGGTACATCAAAATGTCACAAAAATGATATTCAAAACTACAAGAGAATAAAGGGGATAAAAGGAAGAGAGATTAATGGATAATCATTAAAATTGGATGGTTCTGCAAAAATATATGACACTTGTAAGGCAGGCTTTATGTTAGGCAGTTATCGATACATTACCTCCACAAAATCCTAGTCTTTCACACCATGGCAGATAATGATATCAACACTTGAAAACATTTTGCATCTATCCTCAACTTGAGTCTTCAGATATTATCTGTTCCACCAATCCTGACTTTAAGGAGAACAATTAGTGATTCACATTAATGTCAAAATGCAGGTTTACTATTTCTATTTTCTACATTTTCAGCTCACATATCATTGTTTCCAAAATGTCTTCTAGATAGATTTAGAAATCAAAGTTAGGATTAACATCTGATAATATAACATTCATTAATAACATAGAAACACTATGGTCTATGGACATCTACAGAAAGAATAACATTTGTCCCGTGATTTATAAACAAAAATTGGGCAGCAATTATTCCAATAAATACAAGAACAATGAAAAGAATGACAATCCAATAATTAATACTGATATGAAAAGAGCACACCATATTTGCAAAAAGCACTGATAATTCATTAGAATACTTTCATTTCAACTACATCTCCAGAATCGAGTAAATTCTGAATCAAAATACACGGGAAACTCTTAACAACAATCTACCATTGATTCTTTTTTTCCAACTAATAGCTACCATTAATTCACATTTATGCCCTCTCACCCCTAATTCTCCTAGCAAGTTGGATATCCTTAGGCATGATAGTAACCCTCTTAGCATGAATGGCACACAAGTTAGTGTCTTCAAACAAACCAACAAGGTAAGCTTCAGCAGCTTCCTGGAGTGCAGCAACAGCTGAACTCTGGAAACGGAGATCAGTCTTGAAATCCTGAGCAATCTCACGAACCAAACGCTGGAATGGGAGCTTACGGATCAGAAGCTCAGTTGACTTCTGGTACTTACGGATCTCACGAAGAGCCACAGTTCCTGGCCTGAATCTGTGAGGCTTCTTCACTCCTCCGGTGGCCGGAGCTGACTTTCTGGCAGCTTTGGTCGCCAATTGCTTCCTCGGAGCTTTTCCTCCAGTGGATTTTCGGGCGGTTTGCTTAGTACGAGCCATTTGGAAATTAGGGTTTAGGAGATTTGGTAGAAAGTGTAAAGAGATGGAAGGTTTTAGAAACTTCTTGAGATTTTGAATGTGATTGCAAAGGAAGAAGAGAGGAGGGAGAATTTAAAGAAATTTGAGGGAAGGAGGAGGAGTGATCTTGACCGTTGATGAATTGAAATTGAATGGATGGACGAGATTTGGGGATTGTTTGGTGTAGTGGATCGATGACGTGGAGGAGTTAAAAGTGATCTTGTGCGTTGGTTACAAAGTGAATGGGTGCACAATCTACGGTTGTGATTGGTTTATAGTATGCTTAAGTTGCGGATCGATGACGTGGACAGTTTTGTGCTTTGTGAATAGGTGGGATAATCAGGCACGTCAATTCCATTTACATCTACGGTTCACATTTCCCAAGGGGTTTTGGCACGGATGATAAACATAAAATGTGCATTATGTGATTCCAGTAATCAAAACTATAATCAAATTAGGATTTGATTTTCATAAGTAATGTTTTAAAACTGGCATAAAATTTACTACTTATGGCTTGATAATAAATTAGATTTCAAATATAAAACTATAAATATACATACATAAATAGTTTATGTGTGAGTTGTCATTTTCGCTTCCTCTGGTTCATTCTAGGGCATACAGAAGCTTTATCTCCAACTTTGTAGGATACCTAGCTCTTTATGTGATTAACAAGAAACGATACCTAAATCATTTTTCTTAAGTGATTAACACCAGGGGCCGTTTGGTTACGGTATAAGAGTCCATTTTATTCATGTATTAAAAGTTGTATTAGTTTCATTATGTTTGGTAGAAGTTTTTTATTAGGTAGAAACGTCAACAAAACTTATACCATGTTTGGTTGGTAGGACTCTAAAAGTTGTATAAAAGTTATTCATATATTAATTTTATACGGTGTTTAGTTGCGTTCTTTGTAGTCCTCCATAATTAATACCAACATAACTTATGAGGGAATCTATGTATAAGTTATGCGGGATAAAAAGTGAAATAAGCTATGCAGGTATTAGTTATACATGTATTAAAATAGTAAATTACATATTTATCCCTATTAATTTATTTTTAAATTTATTTTATTGAGAACTTAACCTGACTACTGACTCTACTGCATTCTTAATTTTTTTATCTTTTTCTTTTCAACACACGATCAACAGCCTTTTTGTTTGTTTACATTTGGATTCTAAATGTAAATATTTTATTAGTAATATTACAATTTGGGTGGTATATATTTTGTCGGTACATATGTCAATCATATTCAAATTCATATATTTGGTGTATTAAAATTGTATAAACAATATATAAAATATATTTATAGAATATTTACTATAATAATGTATTGTAATCTCTATACAATTAAATAATACCTACATAACTAAATCCTACATAATTAATACCTGCATAACTAAATCTTGCATAACTAAATCCTGCATAACTAAATCTTGCATAACTAAATCCTGCATAACTAAACTCTGCATAACTAAACTCTGCATAACTAAACCATGCATAACTAAACCCTACATAACTTTAACCAGTAACCAAACGTCCCCTAAGGGTTTTGAAGGTTCTTCATCTATGTTACTTGAATTGGAATCTGGATAAATTAATCACTCAAAAAAAAAGAGCTAGGCATTATGAAAAGTTGGAGGTGAAGCCTCTGTGTGTCTCAGGATAAATCTTAAATTCAAAATTTGCAGTCTACCGTTAAGAAAATAATTGATCTGGAGGCAAATCAGAGAACTTACTGCAAAGGCAAAAGGACCGTTGGAGAGACCACTTAAAGCTTTGTGGTGGAAGAATATTTTACACGAGTTAAATATAAATTAAGATTATGTACTAACAATATACAAATCAACAAATCAAACGTCAAAAAATATTGTTAGAATAAACAATTTATATTCATAAGTTAGCATTTTATTCATCTTCAACTCCGACACATATGATTTGAGGTAGCTGCTCGGCTTGAAATTTTCCTTTCTAATGAAATTTGGCTTAGCCTACCTAGATAAATTTGAAATGAGGTAAATCCATACCTATACTATGCATATTGATGTGTTTTGTTAAGCTTATATTGTTACTCTATATGTGAGCGTAACATCCTTTCAAAAGTAGTTTAAAAATATAAATTTTATACTTCAAAGAATTAAAGTGATAGATTTTAACTAATTAAAAATTAAATATATTAAATTATATATCATAACGATCAAAATCAAAATTTGTTAATAGCTAAAAAACTAAAAGTATTTTTCTCCCTATAAAAATGATAGCAACTTAATAGTAATAGAATTTATGGAAAAGGCCAAAGATACCCATCAAAAATATATGTGAAATTGAATAATTTTATACCATGTTTGAATGAGATAAAATTGTGAGATAATAATAATCATTTTTTTATTTAAACTCAAAATAATTAATCTTGAGATAATTTGTCTGATATGAAAAACGCCCTTAGATCGGAAAGACAATTTTAACCCTTATTCCCTGGAATTTATTATTTCCAAACACCCCCAAAATCTCTGGTTTCGATTTTTCAGCCATCCACCGATCAACGGAGAGAAGTCAACTAATCACACACCGTAATAATATTTGATTATCTGCCGTTAAACATGTTCACAATTTTATAGGAATTTGTATTCAGCCAGACATTCTAGCTTCCATGAAAGAACCTTCACTTTAACCCCACACGCATTTTAGCTTATTCCCCAAGAAATCAGCCCTTTCTCAACTGGTCAACTTACAATTTCATGAATCTTTACATATATAACTACTTGTAGAAACACACACATGGAACGTCTTTGCATATACAATCCTCTTTAACGTTGATTGATTTCCTTTTAGAATTTACCCAGATCGAGAAATTGTTGATACAGTAATGGTTCTGCCACTATTGAAGCTTGGGACACTTGCATTGAAAACACTGAGCAAACCCATTGGCAGTAGGCTTAAGCAACAAGCTGGGTTGCACCCAAAGTTTCGTAATTTCATTGTCAGCATGGCCCAGGTAATCCCCGATTATTTTAGAAATGATATCCTCTTTATAGGGCATGAATTTGATCTAAATCTCCTTTTTTGTATAGCTAATTAGAATGAAGAGGGCATAAATTGTGCATTTCTTCTGTCCCTCTTCCCCTAAAAGAATGATTGGGCTAGGAGTAGGACTAGGACTAGCAAAGTTTCTAACTTTATGTATATGAGGAGTGAGGACTTCATATTTTGTATAGAATTGGTGACCACATAGGGCATTGATTCCAATTCCGTAATAAAAGCTCTTAGTCCGTTTCAGCAAAAAATGGTTGGCCTTGTTGCTGTTTATCACATTACCAGAATCTAATTGAGGCTATTCAAACGGATAGACCAGTGATTGTAGTATAAATCAGTTAGTGCTGGGAGAAAAGAGTTTGATATGTATGCCTAATGTTATGTGGTTGGTTTTAGACTTAAGGAGTAAAAAGTTTAATTGACAAGAGCATAAGTTTATGTCACGTGACCGACCTGCAATTTTACAATTTTGTTCCTGTTAGTTAGTTATAGTCTCACATCCAGTTCAGTTAGTTGTGAGTTATTGAAAGAGCATAAGTAGCACAGTTGCATAATTCCTCATTCAGAAAACAAAATGCGATGAAAACCATTATACATATGCCAATTTATTTCACATGGGAAGATTGGCTATCATTTTTGTTTTGGTTATAACTTTGGGGGATTGTGCTTTGTTCTTTAGCACTTGTAGTTCTGAATTGAGGGACTGGTAAGATTTACTTAGGTGATTGGATGATTCTAATGGTCACATCTTACAATACCTGATACGAGTGGCTGGTGTTCCGGTTGAAGAGTTTTAATGCTGTTTGATCTTGTCATCTCTAAATAGCTGATTGTTGCATGTGCTTCCTTACTTTTAATAAGTACATGCACTTTTCTTGCTCTCTAGTTCTTTTAACCCCTTAATAATGCAATGCAAGAAATGTTGTTGCATTCCTCTAAGCATTTCACTTTATTACACCTCAGTGCATTATTTCAGCTATTTATGCTTTGTTTGTAGATGCAAATACCATCTTTCAAAAACTTTTTCCTTCATATGTTAATCTCTTGAATTCAATTAGCATTTCAAATTTCATCTGTTTGAACACATCCATTGTTGGAAGCAGGCAAACCACCGGATCACAACAACAATGCAGAGGCGGTTATATGGTCATGCAACCAATGTAGAGATACGGCCTTTGGATGAAGAAAAAGCTGTTCAAGCTGCTGTTGATCTTCTGGGGGAGGCTTTTGTCTTTTCGGTATTGCCTATTTTCCCACTTGACTCTGTAATGACATGTCTAGATAGTTATCTAAGCTTCCTCTGTTTGTTAACTGATACATATCATTATTGTTTAGATAAGATCATACAGGAGCGGAGCTAGGTGGGAGTTCATGGGTCAGACGAACCCAATAGCTTTTTTGTAGACCCAAAATTTGTACTAGAAAATTAAGTAATAACTTGTGAACACCTAATAAAACTAATTGACAACTCAATGGTAAGGAAGGAGAAGGAAATTTAGAACCCCAAACTCTTAATACGGGCTCCGCCTCTGAGAGCATACACTTCGCTAACTACTCTAGGTTTGAATTCTAGTGAATTTAAAACATGATATCCACTCTGACTGCAGTATCGATGTAGTCGTGCTACCTTTGTCACCCAGACTAGCAGTGGCAATTTCTAATGATCCACATAGCCCTTGAAATCTTGGGCATTAAAGTCTCTTTGCATCAATATGTGGGAATAAGTCTGATTCAACATGAGCACTGAATCCTTCTCTGTTCAACTGCCTTGTGATTTCTTTTCCCAGGAAGAGTTTGAAACACAAAACTTAGAGCTCTGAAACTTGTATACATGAAAGTCTCATAGCTACCATCTCGAGATACACTGTATTAGAAGGCCTAACCTCTTGTTCCTTACAATTCTGATTTCACACTATTGGATTGTCAAAAATAATACTGCCTGCTGAAGACTTCTATATTTTCTCTTTTAGTTTCTGAAATATTAGAGCAAAAAGATTTCAAGTATAATTTTAACCAACATTTTACACTGAATGCACTTTCTGGTTGTGCTACAAAATCTTGAACCGAGTTTGTGTGGTGAGTTCCCTTTCAGCTATCTTGGATGTGTTAGACTTGATCTCTTGGGTTCTAGTGCTAATCTCCTTCTCTTCGAGTTATCATGGGTTGCTAAGTAAGGAAAAGGGAAGTACCAAGAGTTACACTTGAACTCCTAGACTCTAGGGCTTATCTGTGTTTTTTTTGAAGTATCCTTTGTTGCTAAGGAAGGGAAAGGGATGTGCTGATGATAATTATTTACACTTTATGTGTGGTTAGTCAGCAAACAATGAAAAACTCTCTTACATGAAAGACTTAACTTGAAGTTAAGTCCTAGAAAATATTTTGAAAACTTGCACCCAAAGGGTAGCGGCTGCTGGTTTCCCTTGTCATCCAAAAAAAAAAATATTTTGAAAACTTGAAAGCAAATAGTTTGTGTTTTAAAAATCCATTTCCTTTCACATAAACAAATGCAATGACATGATTTTTGTTTTCCTTTTCTTTAGTTCACTTCAAAATTCTCAAGAAATATATTTTCAGGCAATTTTCTTGACATCCCAACATGCGAGAAGTCAATCTTTTCCTTTTAATTACTGCTTATTCTAAATTTTTAAGAGTGGTCAATGCAATATTTAGATCGTACTGAACACTACTTATTATGTTGAAGACATCCCTAATATCTCTCTTTCAGATAAATATACCTAAAACATCACTGTGACTTGCAACTTATAAGCTAACCCGACAAGGAATTTCGCTACCTTAGGACAATTATAGTTACAGTCACCGTTCACGGGGGCTTCAGTTGCTGGCTCCCCTGTCATCACGTCACCAACTTCCTCGACCTTCCGGATGTCTTCAGAGTTTAGTAGGAAGTGTACGGTTTTCACTGTTTATATGAGATAGATTCTTAATGGAGCCATCTGTCAATAGCCAAGGTAAGTGTCCTTCTGTAGGTGTAAATATGCATTATACACTTCTTCTGCATTTGTCATCCACCTCTGTTGACTTCTCAAGTCTTTGGATCACTAACAGTCACCAGCTGCCACATGAACTCATACCCTTTTCTTACTTCCATCTTTTCTTATTATGTCTATGATTTCATGTCTCAGGCTTACAGGATTGAGTCAGCATCTTCAATTGGAACCACTCTAATCTTCTCTCTCTGCTTAGTTAAAAAATCTTCCCCTTCATAAAAGTGAAAAAAAAAAAATCCGCTTCATATAACATATAAGTGACATATGATTTGATCACTGGAAGTCTATTATTCTTGGGCAAAATCGGAAGCTTTACTTTAGCATTTCATAACCGTACACAATATGAATTAGAATGAGTGGTCACCAGTTGCTTTATCCAACAACAACATACCCAATGTAATCCCTCAGGTGGTGGGATCCGGGGAGGATTGAGTGTACTCAGCCCTTACTCCTACCTCGTGGAGGTAGAGAGGTTGTATCTGAAAGACCCTCGACTCAAGTAACGTATACCAAAACTATCTGAAAAGAAAAATCCAAAAATAAAGAGGACATAGCAAACAATAGGGAAAACCTTACATAGCATTCAGAAAACAAGGAACAGTAATAACAACCAAATAATGTGATAACCAAAGCATAGGAAACAGCATGTAGTAACAAAAATAATCTGTTATCACATTATTTGGTTGTTATTTTGTTTGTGAATTTCTTGTGAGTGACACAGTAATGAATCATGAATAATGCAGCATGGGAGGCATCATTATATTTGGTTGAATCTGTCAATAATGGTGGTCAGTTTGGAGTGATGCAATAACACTCGACTTTGGTATCTTGCATCTAGCACCTTTATGTTGTCTAATTTTGTGCTTTGGCTACTTTCTTGAATTGCTGAAATAGGTTGCAGTTGCTGCACTTTACTTTGAGGTGCAAAGAAGTTCTCGATCAGAAGCGAAAAAGGAGGAACTTCGCAGACAAGATCTGGAGGTAGTCTCTCAAATTCTTCGGTTACTTGTTTGGTCTTGACAAACTCTTTTGTATCACCCAAAACCAAAAACACTGAACATTCCTAAAAGTATATGTGTTGTTCCTGTGATGTTATCTCAGTAAACATCTACCTTTGCATCTCTTTCTCAAGTTTATGGTTACTAATTATGATTGTTAAGAGCTAACTCTTGAGGTTGAGTTGACAAGGTCCATTTTTTAAGTATCATCATCAGTCATCATCATCATCATCATCATCATCTTCATCTTCTTTGAATTTTCTGTCTAAAACAATCCTTTCCTGTTCTATTACATCATGAGTTGAGATCAAAAACATCTATTAGCTATTATAATGAACTGAAATTCATCCTTCTTGAAATTTGTTTGAGCTATATTTGAGATCCTCATTCGTTTTCTCAGCAAATGAGGGAAAGAGATGATGCATTGTCACGAGAGGTGGAGAGCCTGAAAAGCAAAATTCAAGAGCTTGAACAGTTGGCAAGGGGACGAGGACTAGCTGGAGTGTTCAATTTCAGACCTTCTCAAGTCGAAGAAGGCAAAGTACCAACACCAGCATGATCTTTTGTGTGATGTTTTGGCAGCAAAATGATCAGATATTTTCTCATTCTTTGGAGCCAAGAATCATATGCCTTCTGTAAACCAGAAGCCTAGGCTCCTTGCTGAAAATGAAGTTGAATCTTATGAAAATTTCCATTGATGTTATCAATATTGTGAGTTCCATAGCCTGAGTTTTTGCTGTTTCCTCCTTTGATTTATGGCACTATACTGATTTTACTTATGTCTAACACCACATGCTTTCAAGAGACTTGTGTACTTAGCAGTTAGCATCATAGGGTGCTAAATTGTGAAATGTTGGATTTGGAGATTTTTTTTCAGCCATGTTCTAATGTTCAATACTGGTGAGGTGACATTTTGACCAGATGCTCCTTACCTGCAAAAGTTTTATGTAATACAAATATAACACCAATATTTATACTTTAGCACATTTATATGAATGGGAGGCATCATGAATTGACTACAGCCCATAGGGAATCTTGAAGATGGATAGTGAGGTGTGATGCCTTCCTTGCCTTGCTGTTTCTCTCTTTTTACTTACCCACCAAAAGGGACCTTTTTGCTGATGGATCTGGATTTTGCTCACAAAAAGCTTCTACTCCCTCTGTCCCTAATTACTTGTCCACTTTTGAATTGACACACCTATTAAGAAAGTAATTATCGATATAGCGAGTTTACCATTTTAATCTTGTTAACTATGAAGTGGATAAATTAAAAACCTAAGATTTTCAAGAAGTTCTATCTTTTTCAAAGTAATTAATCGAGGGTATAATAGGTAAAAATATTTTGTCCTTTCTTGATTTGTCAAAATGAACAAGTAATTAGGGATAATTAAAAAAAGAAAAGTAGACAAGTAATTAGGGACAGAAGAGTATCTTCTTTCTCAATGTGGGTAAAAAGGACTAATCTCTTTGTGCCACACCAATTCTAAAAATGGAGTCCTATTTTAGTGTCTTTTTTCATTCTTCTTTTAACTTTTTTGTTCCATTGTATATAATATTAATAATCAGATTTATAATTCAAAAGGCATTTTAAATGGTAAATAAATCTTTGATATGTTTTTAATGTATAAATTAAATAAGAATTCATTGTATGCTTGTCAGTTCTTATGCCCCTAACAGTTTTTTTGTGGTGAAGTCATTTACAAAATAGGATGCTTTATTGTTTTAAAAAAATAAATAGAAAAAACCTTATGAGTTGTGGAAAAATTATATATTAACTTGAAATATTAGAAAGTTGGAGGAGTCTTGCGTATTTTATAAATACATGATCCTACAATAGATCCATAATAAAGTAATATACTAAATTGTTTTTTTCTCGGATATGTTGGTAATAGTGATGCATATAAATTTCTTGGTATGTTAGTAGTGATATGATTGAGTGTAATAATACCGTTGAAATAAAAAAAACAATTGGTAGTGTTTTTAAAAAAAATAAGAGATAATATTTCTTATGTTCCTATTGTTCAAAGTGAAAATACTTCCAATGCTCATTGTCGTTCAAAATGATTTTGAAAATGAGAATTAAAGGAGGAGCAAAAGAACAATAAAAGATTATGGATTTTACATTTATCTTATTGATAATGATTCTATATATTTTCTAACACAATTTTTTCTATTCGTACGCCTCTTATGAAACAAATTGTAAAAGCTAAAACACATTATATTCTAGAAAATAATACTTAAGATTTATTGGTTCACCCGAAAAACTAAACTCATTTGTTGTAAATAATTACTATTTTTTAGAAGGAAGTATAATTTTGATGATTCCATTGATAGATATAAACCTAGATTCATTGTTAAGAGTTTACTTAAATATATTAGCTATTGTATTTATTATGCAGCCAATACTATTATATAATGCTCGCAATAATGCAGCCACATATGATGTAATGATGCATATTATACAAATAAATATATATTTCCTTTATTATCCCAAAAAAAAATAGAACAATTTACTTATAAATAATATTGATTATTTCAACACTTGTGCAAATAAATCTATATATTAAATGCAACTACACTAAGAAAAATTAGAGTTAAACATTACTAATGTGTCAAAAACCAATAAGAAAGTCATAACTTATTGCAAATTAAGATCTTATGTCCATAGAATAAGTATACAAAAAAACTGAAAAAATATATATATTTTTAAAATTCACCTATTATCTTCAATTTTTTCTATACAAAAATAAAAATGTGATAAATTCATTGCATAAAAAAAAAAGTATAATGTGTACTGATGTTTCCTTCGATTTTTCAAAAAAAATAATCCATTTCTATACACATATAGTTGATTAGTAATACATTTTCTATTTAATATATTTAAATCATGACTTTATCAAATCAGACCACACACGAATAGTTTAATTTCAGTTGGATTTAAATTTTTTAGTTTTATCTTAATTAACAACTGCCACGTAGATTTTTATTTTATTTTATTTTTTTCTCAAGGGATTGGATAGAAATATATATAAACCAGTCTTTCAATATATATAGAGAGAGGAAATTTCACAGAGAAATCAAAACTCAAAAACACTTCTTACACTTTCTCTCTCTTCACTGTTCGGAGGCCGCAATCTCTCCTGTCTCCTCCGACCCACCCTCCGATTACCGGTAAGAACCCTATTCTTCTTGCCGGTTGGGAAATTTCCTGGCTTACTTTACCAATTTCGGCTTTTTAAAACTTTTTTTGATTGACTAATTTGTGAGTAATTGTCTACTTTTTTGCCATGTTTTATTCCTTTTCTTTTAAATATTGCTTTATGTGTATATTCCCTTCAGAATTGTTAGTTGTGAAGATAGTATTGTTCTTTTGATTCCCAGATTTAGGGTTAGGTAAATGGGTTTTCTACCGCCGTTAAGATCGCCTTACTTCCTGGGTTTTTGTTGAATCAAGCAAGATTGTGTCTTTTCTGATTTGGGTGTTGTGAAAGTTTCCTACCATCTAGAATATACATATTGCTTATAGAAAATGTTTGCAGTTACTGTAACCGTTACCTCATCCTAAAGAAGTTTTTCGAAACTAAAATCAATTTAAATCTTATTTAAGATCAACAATGTCTTAAGAGAGATTGAGTGGATTATTAATTTAAAAGGAATTATTAAACAAATCGATTATAAATAGTAACTAACGATTTCACATCTAAAAAAGCTAGAAAAATAGATTTTAAACAAAAGTATGTATAATGAAAAAATAAAAGTATTAGGGCCCTATCTTATATTTCGATTTAGTCCCCCAATCTTATTGAGTCGGCCTTAGAGCTCGTTCATATTGATGGTCTCAAACTTGGAAGTTAGAGGGTCAATCAGAAACAATTTCTCTACATCACAAAAGTAGGTGTAAGGCTTTTAATCTTACCCTCCTCAGACTTTACTTATGGGATTACATTGAGTTTGTTTTGCTTTGTCATGTCCTCAACAAACTTTGGTATCACTCACCTGTGCCTCCATAGGGTCAAAGGAACTCAGGTTCCTCATAAACAGAACTCTCTCTCTGTGAAAAAATATCCACAAATAAGGATATCAAAAATTCAAGTGCAACACAAAAAGAAATTAAAAGAAACAAAGTATAATGTGAAATTGCAAACTCAAAGTAACATATAGTGTGAAATTGAAGTTAAAAGGAAAAGTGATCAATAAGTAAGATAGTGAATTTAATATTTATCTAAGGCTAAAAATAATAAATTATTATAATTTTAATAGATTATCAATTTACCCAATAACTCATATTACAAACTCAAAATCCAACCAATAACCCAATAATGGAAAAACTGTGAGAAGCAAATGGTGGAAAGAAATGGAGTGGAAAATTAACAAAAAATAAGATTGAAAAATCTTGTAGGTTCTCTCTCTACCTTATTTATCTTTATATATATTTCCTCAACTTACTTTTCTTTCTTTGAATTGATTTGAGTGTTTCCCTTTTTCTTAAAATCCATTTTTGGTGAATATTTTGATGTAACACTCATATGCACTCATATGCTTTAAAGGGGCTTTTCTATTTGATGTATGGTAGGTCAATGAAGGGAAAAAAAACATATCTTGCTTTGTTAGCTTCATTAACTTTTGAGTTTTGAGCATATAGGGTTGTATTTTGTAAAAGGGGTGTTTCTTGTTGTTGTAAACTAAATTATGAAATTGATTACTTTATCCAATAACAGAAGGAAAAAAAGGAAAACCCCAGATCTTGATTTGGCATTACATTGAATAATCAGATTCAAAGACAAATTTTAAAATTGGATTTTAAATGTATATATCCCTGGTGTGAGTCTCTGTTGAGAATGATGAGTACTATTTGAGGTCATTGGTCACTCCGAATGTGTTCTCAATCAGAGCTCTCTGTTTATAGCCAAAAATCGCAAAGAGAAGTGGGCTCCAATTCTTCAATTGTATGTTCATTTTCGTTTCCTTTACGATTTGATATGTTGGCGATGTGATTCTGTGATTCATGGAATGGACAATCTGTTTGTTTAGAATGAAGACTAGTTAAAAGGAATAATAATGGTTTGCTAAATAGGTGAATTTGGGATGAAAGATGATTTGTGTGATTAAAGAAGCCTAATTGATTAATGATTTAGAATAAGTTTTGTTTAAATTATGGAACAGGTTTTATTGCAATATTAGTCTATTGAATGAGGTTTAGGTAGGCAAAATTTGAGACACATTTGATTGCTTGTGTGATTTTATTTACTTTCTAATATCATGTATCCATTTCCTGGAAGAAAACAAATGTGAGAATGGAGGGCGTTTGTGGACAGATTTGATTTAAACTCTTCTATGCGCGTAAGGCGTATCTTTGTCTTTACTTTGAGAAAATGTAGAGTATAACATTTGGGACAAGTTTGTGACCTGAGAAACTGCTCCGGCCACCAAATCTGATATCGTGAGCTTGTCATTTTGTTTCAGTATTCTTCACTTACACGAATGATTGATTGTTTCGTGATGTTCAGGCAAATGAGGCGCAGCCTTGAGGTTTGGAAGATGGGCACGATAAATTACCTGGAGGCATTGAAGCTGCAAGAGAAGTTGGCATCTCATAGAAAAGCTCTAAAAATTACTGATACCCTATTATCTCTACAACATCCACCGACGTATACAGTTGGCAAAAGGGAAACAGTTCATAATCTACTCATTCCTGATACCGAGCTCAAGTCCATAGGGGCGGAACTTCACTATACGCAAAGAGGAGGTGACATTACTTTTCATGGTCCTCACCAAGCGATCTTATATCCCATTGTTTCGTTGAGAGATATTGGTTTAGGGGCTAGAATGTACGTTGAGAAACTTGAGCTAACCATGATTGAATTGGCATCTATGTATGGTGTGAAAGCACAGGCTGGACAAAAATGCGAAACTGGGGTTTGGGTTGAGGACAAAAAGATTGGCGCGATTGGAGTTAGAATTTCATCTGGGATCACATCTCATGGATTAGCATTCAACATGGACCCTGATTTAAACTACTTTAAGCATATTGTGCCTTGTGGGATCGTCGATAAAGGTGTTACGTCTTTGAAGAATGAGACAGATGTAGAGCTTCCTGCTGAAGATGTGATACAAGAGCAGTTGATCGCTTGTTTTGTAAGAATATTTGGGTACAACGATGTCGTTTTAAAAGATAAGTCTGTGTTATAATTGGTTATAAGCACTAATGTAAACATTTGCTGATACATTATGTGACTAATTTTTGTATAAGTACACATTGTTCATTCATTTGATCAGATTAGCATTGTGGACGAGTAAGCGATGATATCAAAAGCAGATTTCTTGTGCTGTTCTTTGAATTTTTGATATCCTTATTTGTGGATATTTTTTTTCACAGAGAGTTCTGTTTATGAGGAATCTGAGTTCCTTTGACCCTATGGAGGCACAAGTGAGTGATACCAAAGTTTGTTGAGGACATGACAAAGCAAAACAAACTCAATGTAATCCCATAAGTAAAGTCTGAGGAGGGTAAGATTAAAAGCCTTACACCTACTTTTGTGATGTAGAGAGATTGTTTTTGATTGACCCTCTAACTTCCAAGTTTGAGACCATCAATATGAACGAGCTCTAAGGCCGACTCAATAAGATTGGGGACTAAATTGAAATATAAGATAGGGCCCTAATACTTTTATTTTTTCATTATACATACTTTTGTTCAAAATCTATTTTTCTAGCTTTTTTAGATGTGAAATCGTTAGTTACTATTTATAATCGATTTGTTTAATAATTCATTTTAAATTAATAATCCACTCAATCTCTCTTAAGACATTGTTGATCTTAAATAAGATTTAAATCGATTTTAGTTTCGAAAAATTTCTTTAGGATGAGGTAACGGTTACAGTAACTGCAAACATTTTCTACCCACTTGACTCTGTAATGACATGTCTAGATAGTTCTCTAATATCTCACTTTCAGATAAATATACCTAAAACATTACTGTGACTTGCAACTTATAAGCTAACCCGACAAGAAATTTCGCTAGCTTAGGACAGATATAGTTACGGCCGCCGTTCAGCCAGGCTTCGGTCGCCGGCTCCCCTGTCATCACATCACCAACTTCCTTGACCTTCTGGATGTCTTTAGGGGTCGTTTGGTACAAAGATGCATAACGCAGGGATTACTAATGCATGGATTAATAATGCAGGGATTAGTAATGCATGGTTTAGTAATGCAGGGATTATTTTTTATCAAGTGTTTGGTTTATTGTTTCCCATTTAATCTTATGTTTGATTTAAAATTCTAGAAAAAGTTTCATATTATACCCTTGAGTTATTATGAGATTTTATATTTCATTTAATTTGTCAAGTTAATTACTAAAATATATTTAAAAAATTATTATTAATTTTGAGATGTGATATGCCACCATAGAGATCCTTGATAGCACGGTATATTTCTAATTTTTTTGTTGGTTAAATATACCTTGAACTTAACATAGATTTAAGGCTAATTAAATTGTTCAAATACACAAAGCTTTTTTTTTTTTTTAAATAGTTCAAGTGGTCAATCGACGAACTACATTTTAAAAAAATGAAAAAACCAACCGAATATAACAAATCAAACATGGAGAAAAAAATATTAATTTGTGAAATCATCAAATCACATGGAACGAATTTGGAGAATTTAAAAGAATATTTATAAATATTCTCATATAAATAAAAAAAACATTAAATTACAAAAAAAATAAATTAGGAAGAAAGATTTGAGGATAGTTTAGTCATTTAGGGGTCTTATCTAAGGATTGTTAAACCTTGGATTACTTATCCCTCCCTTTTCTAGGGATTAGATAAGACCTTGTATAAGGTATAACTAATCCATGAATTAGGTTAAATAAAGTAACCAAACAATATTTTTGATGGACTAAATTTTAATCCATGGACTATTTTGATTAATACCTCCTACCAAACGGGTCCTTAGAGTTTAGTAGGAAGTGTACGGTTTTTACTGTTTATCCATCTGTCAATAGCGAAGGTTATATCCTTCTGTTAGGAGTAAATATGTTTTATACACTTCTTCTGCATTTTTCATCAACCTCTATTGACTTCTCAAATCTTCGGACCACTAACAGTCACCAGCTGCCACATGAACTCATACCCTTTTCTTACTTCCATCTGTGCTTTTTATGTCTCGGGCTTACAGGATTGAGTTAGCATCTTCAATTGGAACCACTCTAATCTTCTTTCTCTGCTTAGTTAAAAAACCTTCCCCTTCTTATAGGTGTTAAAAAATCTTCCGCCTCACATAAGTGACATATGATTTGATCACTGAAAGTCTATTATTCTTTTGCAAATCTGGAAGCTTTACTTTAGCATTTCATAATCGTACACAATATGAATTAGAATGAGGGGCTACCAGTTGGCTTTATCCAACAACAACAACATACCCAGTGTAATCCCACAGGTGGTGGGATCCGGGGAGGGTTGAGTGTACTCAGACTTTACCCCTACCTCGTGGAGGTAGAGAGGTTGTATCTGAAAGACCCTCGACTCAAGTAATGTATATCAAAGTTGTTTGAAGAGAAAAATCCAAAAGTAATGAGGACATAGCAAACAATAGGGAAAACACTACATAGCATTCAGAAAACAAGGAACGGTAACAACAATCAAATAATGTGATAACCGAAGCATAGGAAACAACAGGTAGTAACAAAAATAATCTGTTTCATTTGTTTGTGAATTTCTTGTGAGTGAGACAGTAATGAATCATGAATAATACAGCTTGGAGAGGACATCATTATATTTGGTTGAATCTATTAATAATGGTGGTTAGTTTGGAGTGATGCAATAACACTTAACTTTGGTATCTTGCATCTAGCACCTTTATGTTGTCTAATTTTTTGCTTTGGTTACTTCCTTAAATTGCTGAAACAGGTTGCAGTTGCTGCACTTTCCTTTGAGGTGCAAAGAAGTTCTCGATCAGAAGCCAAAAAGGAGGAACTTCGCAGGCAAGAGCTGGAGGTAGTCTCTCGAATTCTTCGGTTACTTGTTTGGTCTTGACAAACTCTTTCATATCACCCAAAACCAAAAACACTGAACATTCCTAAAAGTATATGTTTGTTCCTGTGATGTTATCTCAGTAAACATCTACCTTTGCATCTCTTTCTCAAGTTTATGGTTACTGACTATAATTCTCAAGAGCTAACTCTTGAGGTTGAGTTGACAAGGTCCATTTTTTAAGTATTCTTATTATTACTTATAAATATTATTATTATTATTATAAATTAGGTTATGGTTACTTATTCTATCTCAATGTAATTTCATGGAATGGGCCCAGTATAGCGAGCACTTTTTGGATAACATAACGGACCAATTTTGTGCCACATCCATCATTGCTCTTGCATACTTCTCTTAGAGAAGATAGGTGGATTCACCAAGTATCCCTTTAATTACATATCATTTCTATTACCAAACCTGAAAATGCACCCTGATTTACCTGTCTCTTTGTAGCAGCAGAAGGAACTGTTGTAATTTGCTAATTTGAATTTTATTGATTCTGGTGTTAAACAATTATGTTCTATTACATCATGAGTTGAGATCAAAAACCCCTATTAGCTCTTATAATGAACTGAAATTCATCCTTCTTGAAATTTGTTTGAGCTATATTTGAGATCCTCATTCGTTTTCTCAGCAAATGAGGGAAAGAGATGACTCACTGTCACGAGAGGTGGAGAGCCTGAAAAGCAAAATTCAAGAGCTTGAACAGTTAGCAAGGGGACGAGGACTAGCTGGAGTGTTCAATTTCAGACCTTCTCAAGTTGAAGAAGGCAAGGTACCAACACCAGCATGATCTTTTGTGTGATGTTTTTTGCAGCAAAATGATCAGATATTTTCTCATTCTTTGGAGCCAAGAAACATATGCCTTCTGTAAACCAGAAGCCTAGGCTCCTTGCTGAAAATGAAGTTGAATCTTATGAAAATTTCCATTGATGTGATCAATATTGTGAGTTCCATAGCCTGAATTTTTGCTGTTTCCTCCTTTGATTTATGGCACTATACTGATTTTACATATGTCTAACACCACATGCTTTTAAGAGACTTGTGTACTTAGCATCATAGGGTGCTAAATAGTGAAATGTTGTTCAGCCATGTTCTAATGCTCAATACTAGTGAAGTGACATTATGACCAGATGCCCCTTACCTGCAAAAGTTATGTATAAATACAAATGTAACACCAATATTTATACTTTAGCACATTAAATGAATGGGAGGCATCATGAATTGACTACAGCCCATAGGGAATCTTGAAGATGGATAGTGGGGTGTGCCTTTATGCCTTCCTTGCCTTGTTGTTTCTCTCTTTTTACTTACCCACCAAAAGGGACCTTTTTTGCTGATGGATCTGAATTTTGCTCACAAAGGCTTCTATCTTCTTTCTCAATTTGGGTAAAAAGGACCAATCTCTTTGTGCCACCCCAATTCTAAAAATGGAGTCCTGTTTTAGTGTGTCTTTTTTCATTCTTCTTTAACTTTTTGGTCCACTGCAATACATATTAATAATCAGATTCATAATTCAAAAGGCATTTTTAAAGGGTAAATGGATCTTTCATATGTTTTTAATGTATATTTCAAAGTAAAATAAAAATAAAAATAAGAATTCAATGTATGCTTGTCAGTTCTTATGCTCCTAACAGTTTTTTTATTTTTGTGGTGAAGCCATTTTATTGAGTCATTTACAAAATAGGATGCTTTATTGTTTTAAAAAAATAAATAGAAAAAACCTTATGAGTTGTGGAAAAATTATATATTAACTTGAAATATTAGAAAGTTGGAGGAGTCTTGCGTATTTTATAAATATATGATCCTGCAATAAATCCATAATAAAGTAATATATTGAATTGTTTATTTCTCGGATTTGTTGATGCATATAAATTTCTTGTTATGTTAGTAGTGATATGATTGAGCGTAATAATACAGTTGAAATAAAAAAAACAATTGATAATATTTTTTAAAATAAGAGATAATATTTCCCGTGCAACAATGATTTTGAAAATGAGAATTTAAGGAGGAGTAAAAGAACATTTATCTTATTGATATTGATTCTATATGTTTTCTAACACAATTTTTTCTCTTCGCACGCCTCTTATAAAGAAATCGTAAAAGCTAAAACAAATTATATTCTATAAAATAATACTTAAGATTTATTGGTTTACCTGAACAACTAAATTCATTAGTGGTAAATAAATACTTTTTAAAAGGAAGTATAGCTCTGATGGTTCCACTGATAGATATAAACCTAGATTCATTAACTACGATTCGTATGTATTATAGAGTCGGTACTACTATTATCTAATGCTTACAACAATGCAGCCACATCTGATATAATGATGCATATTATATATATATATATATATAAAACAATATTAATTATTTCGACACTTATGCAAAGAAATCTATATGTTAAATGCAACTACACTAAAGAAAAATTAGAGTTGAACATTACAATTTACAAGTGTGTCAAAAACCAGTAAGAAAGTCATAACTTATTGCAAATTAAGATCTTATGTCCAAAAAATAAGCATGCAAAAAACTGAAAATATATATATATTTTTAAAATCACCTATTATCTTCAATTTTTTATATACAAAAATTAAAATGTGATAAATTCATTGCATAAAAAAAAAGTATAATGTATACTAATGCTTCCTTTGATTTTTCAAAAAATAAATAAATTTTATTTAATACTAATCAACCATACACAACACATATATAGTTGATTAGTATTAGTATACATTTTCTATTTAATATATTTAAATCAAGACTTCATGAAATCAGACCACACACGAATATTTTAATTTCAGTTGGATTTAATGTTTTAGTTTTATCTTAATTAACAACTGCCACGTAGATTTCTCAAGGGTTTGGATAGAAATATATATAAACCAGTCTTTCAATATAGAGAGAGAAAATTTCACAGACAGGAAATCAAAACCCAAAAACACTTCTTACACTTTCTCTCTCTTCACTGTTCGGAGGCCGCAATCACTCCTGTATCCTCCGACCCACCCGCCGATAACCAGTAAGAACCCTATTCTTCTTGCCGGTTGGGAATTTTCCAGTTTTACTTTACCAATTTCGGCTTTTTAAAACTTTTTTCGATTGACTAATTTGTGAGTAATTGTCTACTTTTTTGCCATGTTTTATTCTTTTTCTTTTAAATCTTGCTTTATGTGTTAAGAATTGTTAGTTGATTGTGATGATGTTATTGTTCTTTTGATTCCCAGATTTAGGGTTAGGTAAATGGGTTTTCTACCGCCGTTAAGATCGCCTTATTTCCTGGGTTTTTGTTGAATCGAGCAAGATTGTGTCTTTTCTGATTTGGGTGTTGTGAAAATTTTGGTTCTTGAGGTGCAATTTGGCTACTTTTGGTGGTTGTTACTTATGTTTGATTATATGGGAATTTTGGTTCGGGTTTAATACTTGATTTTGTGTGCATAGGTTGGATCTTTTTTTGTGGTTTTTAATTTCTTTTTCTAACATGAAATCTGGAATGTGATCTTGTTGGTTATCTTGGGTTTATGTGTTGTGCTTGATGGTGAAATGGAACATATAATGATGATTACTTTAAAACTGAGAATGTTTTGGCTTTTTGCAGGTGAAGAATTGGAGGGTTTCTTCTGTTTGATTAGATGGGGAAGGGTTCGAAGAATGGTGCGCTCTTCAAGGACAAGGCGAAAAATCGCGTTGATGATCTGCAGGGTATGTTCATGAACCTGCAATCTGCAAGGAAAGAAAGTCGAACTTATGATGCTGGGGTGCTGGAAGAGCAGGTCCACCAGATGCTTCGTGAGTGGAAAGCTGAGCTCAATGAGCCTTCCCCTGCCTCTTCTTTGCAGGCAAGAACTAACCTTGTGTCCCTTTAGAGGGGTGTGCAGTGGTTTTAGTTTCCTTTACTGTCCACAATGTCCATGTTGTGATATTGGCCGGTACACATCAGTCTTAAATTAATGTGATCAAATTTTGATATTTCTGTGTCGACCTGCATGTGTCTTTATCTGAGTGTGTTTGTGATGTCTAATGTTATGTTTGATTGAAGCATCTTGAACAAATGCTTACAAATTTTTGGATTTATTACACGTGCAAATTTGAATCACTTCAAGAGTAATTGTGTCGGTCTCCATTATGGTGTAATTGTGTGCAATCATGGTAGCTACTGTTTTAAGTATGTTCTGTGTTCAAGCCTTTGTTTATAGTTTTAATGCACATGAAGTTGTAGTGTTTATCTTAATACATGGTGTGCAGGGAGGAAGCCGTATCTCATCAGACCTCTATAGGCTGCTGCATGGTGAGGAGGAAGATGATGCTACCAGTGCATTAGCTGCTCCTAAGCCTGAGCCTGATGCTAAAAAACAAGATGTTACTGGTTTCCAGGAGGTAATTATTTTCCTTGAGATTATCTTGTTCATGTGATGGACTCTTGACTGTTATTGTTTCTAACAGAATGAACCTTCTCCGAATCCATTTTAGAATACGGTTGGTTGGTTATTCATCTTAGGAGTTTCAATTTCATTGTAGTTCGTGTTTTGCTAGACTCTCCATCTTTGTTTTATTTGACCCAGTCTCCATCTTTTATTTTCCCAGCTTAATTAATAGTTGACTTTTTGTTGCAAATGGATTAAAAATAAAAAAATGCAAACTGAAATCATTGGTTGTTGATGCGATTTTGATAGCTGAGAATCTGCGGAGAGAAGTATTACTAATGTTAGCTGGTGCTATATGCGTTGGATCCGTGGAGGGTGGTATTGAATTATTTTGGGATGCAGTGGTTGATGCGAGACACTTTCAGAGATGCGTTATACTGCTGGTTAGTTAGAAGCAAGGGAAGATAACATAGGGTGGGAGGTTGTGCACGTCTAGCTCTTATGTGGGTAGTAAATGATGTTGTACATTCGAGGAATAGCCTTTTGTCTTTGATTGCTCTTTTGTGCACCCTTAAATTCCTATTTGTATAGACGACTGGGTGTCACTTGTAGAGAATCATATTCTTTTGTAGAGTCTCTGCCTTTTGGTATACCTTTTGTATGCAGGAGCTTTTCCAATGTAAGTAACATTATTTACCTTATCAACAGAAAAGTGATCTCTTGATATGTGAAATACTCTTTTTTCTTGTCCTGGTAGAACATAGTGTGGAATTTCATTACATTTATTGGTCGTAGGTGCTTAATTTGGTATATCTGAAACATGTTAGTTTTCTTGTAAATTGAATCTAATATTTGTTATATAAAATTTTCTCTACTATTGCCTTCATTAGTTTCTTCGATCTATTGCCCCCTGGAAGCTTGCAGACAAGAGTGTACATGGTTTGGTTTGGATAGGTTTTCCTCTAGAAGGAAACCAAACCTATTAAGTCGGGTTTTCAAATGTTATAACCAAGCCAATTAAGTTGGTCTTTCATCTCTTTGGTTTTGGTCCCAGAAAGTGCTTTTGGAAGTATCTCAAAATTTGGAAACTGTGAATGTTATTCAGTTTTCCTTAGTCCCTCATTACACATTAATAATCAATCAACTGTCGCACCAAATTAGTTAGGGCCAGTGTTATGTATCCTTTGTATCCATTCTGCTCTATTCAAAGGATCAGCATAGATAGACTATTTTCCTGTTGGCCTTAAACCCATCAGGATATTTTACCTTTAATCCCGGCTGGGACCAGTTGTGCTTTGCAAAGTTCACAGATGCTGAGTTCTCGCTCTGTTACATATGTTACATAAATTTATTCGTACCATTTGCTGGTTGTGTCTAATTCCTTTTTGCTTAAAGGACTCAAGATAGTAGTTGACTAGTGACCACTTTAATCTTCTTTTTGATATAGCTGGTGTGGTATTGTGGACTTGGAAATGCTTTCCTCCAAATTGTGTCCTCATAATGTATTGTGTCATGACTGACCATCTTGTTGAAGTTTTACTTCTTGCTTCAATTTGATAATCCGTTTGCCGACATTTTCTTTTTCTAGCCTCATTCTCCAATGAATGTCACTCCTTGTAGAGACGTCCTTTTTCAATTAGCTCTTCTTTTGAATTCTTTTTTCTCTTATCAGTTTCACCCACTAATTTTAGCAATGAATCCTCACCAGTTAAGTGATGTGTTTTCTGCAGGGTTTCAATGCAACTCCGGTGCTGCAGGAGCAAGGTTACCAGTTGGTTGATGAATGCAAAAATACGCCTTTAGTCGTCAACAATGCAGGGATTAACAACCTAGGCGTTGCAACACAATTAGATTACCATTCTTTTGATCTGCAGCAAGACTTTGATCAGTTTGGATTTGATGCTTTAAATCTTTGTCTAGAGGATGATTTGTCTCCTATTCAGATTAGCCCTCCACCCTCTGCTTTCCTGGGACCTAAATGTGCACTTTGGGATTGTCCTCGACCTGCGATGGGGTCAGATTGGTGCCAGAAGTCTCATGACTACTGCAGTGACTATCATGCTGCTCTTGCGCCTAATGAAGGCTATCTTGGAAGACCTCCAGTTGTTCGACCAATGGGTGTTGGCTTAAAGGATAGTTTACTTTTCCAAGCTCTAAGTGCTAAAGCACACGGGAAAGATGTTGGTGTTCCAGAATGTAAGGGTGCTGCCACTGCAAAGTCCCCCTGGAATGCACCAGGTTGGTGTGCTAAGACAGTTCTGTATTTCTGATTGCTGAATGTCATACCACATCAGTTTATTCTTGTTTTGTTTTACTTGTAAAATCTGATATCGATTCGTTTGCTTGTGCTTCTGCAGAGCTCTTTGACCTTAAAGTTGTTGAGGGTGAAACAATCAGGGAATGGCTTTTCTTTGATAAGCCTCGAAGGGCATTTGAAAGTGGAAACAGAAAGCAGAGGTCACTGCCAGATTATAACGGGCGGGGTTGGCATGAGTCTAGGAAGCAAGTGATAAATGATTATGGAGGGCTGAAGAGATCCTACTATATGGATCCACAGCCAATGAAAAATCTGGAATGGCATTTGTATGAATATGAGATCAACAAGTATGATGCATGGGCCTTGTACAGATTGGAGCTGAAACTTGTTGATGGGAAGAAGAGTCCAAAAGGGAAAGTAACGAATGAATCAGTTGCTGATTTGCAAAAGCAAATGGGAAGGCTCTCTGCTGAATTTCCTTTGGAGAACAAGCGCTCTGCTAAAGGCAGAGGAAAGGCCAACTCAAAGGATGTTGGTACTAACGGGCCTCCTGCTCCAAATCAAACTGTTCCCGCTATTGAAGGGTTTGATTATGTGGCCGGTGCACTTTTCCCTGATTATCTTGTTGATAATACAGGTGGCTACTACATAACGTAGACTGGATAAGCAGTTGGATGCTTTTAAAATAAGTTGCAATTTGTCTGTGTATTATACATCACTCTCATCCTTGACTCAACCTCCACTGGTGGCTGGAGTTAAACGGAGGTTCTTGTTTCCTCCTTATAAGGCGGAGGCATCTGTGGAACCCCTCCTGTTTCCGTAGGTATATTTGTCAATACATCATTGTCATCTAAGTGTTGTTACAGTCTAACCTCGAAGCATTTTTAACTGCTTGAAGATGAGGTGGATAATCCCAGTTTACTTGTTCAGTTCACTTTACATACCAGCCAAGTTATGAAAGTTAATGGTTTTTGTGTCTAGATTCAGTGACGACGAGGAATGGTCATAAAGCTTTACTGATCTGCCTCTGTTTTCACCTGACGTCCATTGTAGTTATGACTTACATAGGAATGACAGTTTCATATGCATGGTTTAAGAGTTCTACTCGGTGTGGAACTTTGCAGTAGTAAGTGAAAAGGTTTATATGGTGCCTACAATTCGTGGATGGTAATATGTTGGATTATTTTTAGTATAAAGTATCCATGGATGTGATAAGTAAATGAACAAATGAATATAGCTTTTATCGACAGTTTTGATGTAAAAATTAGATGACATTTATCAGAAACAAACGAGAGATAATAATACAAATAAGAGATGATTAACTATAATAATTTCTGTATATTAATTATAAATAAAATTGTAGTTACACCCTACTTAGTACTTGTGTTAGTGGAAGATAGTAGGTCTTCTAGTGGAATAGTTGAGAATTTCCGAAAAAGACTAAATTTGTTTTTACGACAGGTTTTGTTGTGCCCATTTGGGAAGCAACCGAGCCAAGAGATAATTATTATCAAGGAGATTAGAAATAGAGTCCAATTAGGATCTTGCGCTGTCTTGGTATTATTATCAAGTACATGAGGTAAATAAAATATTTTATACACATTTGTGGCACATTACAACTTATTTACATGTTTCTTTTTTATTTTTTTAGAAAAACTAATTACTAGCTTTAATTAAACGTGACACTGCCATTTACGTTATGACAAATAGGTCATTATATTTAATGTCCTAAAAAATTACATAGCTATTCTAAACCAACTTGTGTATCCTTTTTGATATCTGAACAAAGTTTCCTATCGATGATGGTACATAGCACAAGCAAATTGTACACAAGCATTTTATAGCATAAATAAGTTGTTGATTATCAAGTAAGCTTTGAATATTAGCTGCCCCGGTTGAAATCTACTTGATCATATGGAGTAAAATTCAATCTCACACGACCTGTAATAGCACATTCAGAATATAATACACGATAACAACCATATCTATTTCAAACTATTTGAACATAGAAAGCATGTCACACATGGAGCTTATTTATCAAACCCAAGAGGCTTTCGTAACTTCAGGTACAACTTTAGTAATGAAACATAGAAATATCAACAGAACTAACATCAAAGCTTAAAGTCAGCTTCAGATCATCTCAGGCTACTGTCTACACAACTAAAGCAGACTGTCACTAGAACCTAAGGACCATCATCGCCTTCAAGGTTGTTCACACGTTCACACTCGTCAATCCATTCACTGTATCTGTAAGTTTTCAGCAAAAAGAGTATGAGAAGGATAGGGGTACGAAGGAAGGAGAGCAAGACACAAAGCAATGCTAGATGAACTTACATGTCAATGGCCTCTGTCAGTGCTGCAGGATAAAAAAGTAACTGTTAGCCAAACAATAAAGCCATTAATGTTCAATTAAGAAGCTATTCTATGAAGCATGTAACGCTCATCTAAAAGATTATGTCGTAAGAGAGGGGGACATTTTTATCATTTATTTTAGATTTGTAACACGCCTCTATCTACTCCAGTATGCAGGCTAAGGACAGAATAATGTGCTAAACCAAACTTGAAACAATTATATGCAGCTTGTCATCTTGTCCTTTTGATAACTAAAAAATCCCAACAGCACAGCTCAAAATTTGTAGGTATTAATTAGCCCACGGAGCACATCTTATCTTGTATTCTTTATCTTACACAAGGCCTTAGAGCACATCTTGTACTCTTTTATCTTACAGAAGGCACATCATGCAGAGAACTACAATTGAACATAATAATTGATTTGATCATAAAAAACAATGAGGTAGAACATAAAAGGAAATATCTTTAGTTTCTTTTTCCGTCTCTTTGAGTTGGTCCCTCCCATGTTTTATGTTGTCAAACCAATTGAACCATCTTTTTCAAAATGAATCAGATTCAGTGAAACAATAAATAAATTAATAAATGAGAAATCACTAGATATACCTGTAACAGTGGTGCTGAAGCTCTCTTGACAAATCCTGCAATTTGCCTCCCCAATCAAGTTCTTCATATCACTGGAAAACAGGCAAAGTGCAAACTTGAGCATTGACAGAGTAAATAAACGTCCAACCAAAATTGAATGGTAGTACACACTTTAGCTGGGTTACTAAACTTATTCATCTGACCTATAGAGGAACACACAGCTTATTCCTCTGCTACTTTTGGCTACAGTAACGATGGGATTCATGGTTTTGATTTGGCTGTGTGTGTTTATAATTATCAAGCACCTTCTGCAGGGACTATAGCTCACCCTTATTGGACTTAGGAGTTATCACCCACATCTACAAGTATACCTCCAAAGAATACACTATTTCCAAGAGGGGTATTTTGATGTGCACAAATTCAATCCCCAAGGAAAAGGATTGATAGTCTTCTAAGGAAGTCTTAAGTGACAGGATCTAGCAAGGAAAGGAAAGTATATAACGGTAAACACATACTGGTGTTGAATCACAATTAAATATCCTTCTATCTTTAGCCACAAAGAAAATGTCTAAAATGGTGCACAGGTGAGAAGGGAACTGCCCAATCTAGCCAATGGATATGCAGAAAACAACTTGGACACAGAAATGCTAACGTAATTAATTTACATGCGACATTCGACGCTGGTGCCGTGGCTACAGAAAGGACAGCTGAAGACAGTGTCAAGTTTGTCCATTCTCTTCTTAGGAGGCGGCTTTGATTTCGACTTCCTCTTCCCCATAGCTCAAGCAACTGTAAGATACAAATTTAGGAACACAAATCAGCAACAAGAAGCCAAGGCAAATTATTAATGGGGAGTGTGACACTTATAGCTCTTCTGCACCCTGTATTAACTGGTTCCATCTCAGTGAATAATAAGTTAATAACCATCAAATTTGAATTACTTTACTTCATTGCACCATGATAGCAACAAAGAAGATCCTAGCAACTATGCTGATCTTACATAGCATTAAATATTTTGCAAAACAAAAGGGTGTGATATTCAAACAGAAGAAATTAGTTATTCTATCTTATCCCACAGAATTACTTGTGCCACCTTTACGACCTTCTTCCTTTTTGTCCATGTGTTTCATAAAATAAGGAAAGCCGTAAGCTGGTACTTGTGTTCTTATCTAACTAAAGATTCAGTAACTGCCAAAGTGATGACCCATCAAACAAGTATGGATAAGTATCATAATCAATAAATGACTCCTCAAATAATCCATTAGGTATGTGCTTCAAAAGTTAGAGAAGAGCACTCGCAACATGATGCAACTTGCAAGATCACAGAATATACAATCAAACTTCAATCAAAAACTTGCTCCAGTTATTTTGAATCCCAGGAAAATAAAAAGAGGTACATTAGACCATAAACAGCATGAAACTTCCAAAAATTCTCTTGAACCATTCCAAGAGGCAAGAAGTGAATTACAAGAACGTCAAATCAAGTGCCATTAAATAATCATACACCATATTTGGGAACACAATCAAGTCCGAAAAGTCGAGCAATCTCCAATCAACAGATTCTCTAGGAAAACACAAATAACATAAGGCAATTCCCAGAATTCATAAAATTTCCCAAAATACGAAACCCTAGAGTTCAACTAAAAAATTATTTCTAGCGATTCGCACCAGGCAAAAAAGCAAGACCAACATAATTTTGGGAAATTCTCAAAGCAGAATCATGGAATATCAACAATTCTTTATTTTTAGCCATAGCAAGAGATTATACACCTGATGAAGAACAGAGATTGATATTGCTTTTCGTTATCTGCAAAATTAAGATTGAAATTTTACGAGAAAATTCTATGAAAAGAAATTCAGTGTACAGAGAAAAAAGAAGAAGAAGAAGAAGAAGGGGGAACTCACCGCTACACACTTGGTTCTTTGTCGACTCTCGGAAACAAAAAAGAGACTAATATATTTATATAAAGAATATACTAAAACCTTAGTGTGTACAATCTCGGAAAGAAAATTAGAAAACTGTTTTTGGATAGTCTCAAATAACATACTATATATATAGTATTATATAAGAGATTTAAAAAGGAAATAAAATTAATAGAGATATTAACATTCGAAAGTATTATTAAAATAAAGAAATTCTGAATATTTGTGTTACTTTCGAAACGCAAATAACATATGTTAAAGTGAATTTAAAGAAAGAAAATAAAAATAATAAAGCCAACATAGATAATAGAGGAAATTTTTAAAGCATACAGATAAAAACCAATGAATATTTATGTTATTTTCAAAAGATCCTTAATTTAAATAATACATATTAAAATAGATTTAAAGGGTGAAAACAAAAAATAATAAAGTCACATGTTAAAAAAAAAACTTTTATAAGCATACATAAAAAGGAAATGATAAACATTTATTTAAAACAAATATTTATTAAAATTAGATGGATAACCTTTTTTCCTTTTAGAGCTAGGTTTATACCATACAATTTCTAATATCATACGAGTTTTTTGCATAACAATTAGAAATTCAATATTCACTGTTCTTCTATTTTTTTTCTTTAAATTTTTATCAAGAAGTTCATCATCCCCATGTAAAAATAATAATATTATATAGTAAAAAAATGAATATTAAATAAGAATAACAAAATAATGTGATGATGGCAAATACAGGAAATCGCATACGATGATAGATATGATGGTTAATTAGATGACCTATTTAATTTTACTAAACAAAAGTTATTTTATGTACAATTAATTCGTATTATGATATAATTTATAACCTAATAACATAAAGAAATCACATCTAGATCCAAGAATTGAAAGAAAATTGAGAGATACAATAAATACGGGTACGCAGGATATGAATTAAATGATTTTTATCTTCACAATGAGTTTTTTTTTTTTTTTTTTTAAAACAGTAATAGTTGAGTGATTTTGTTGTTCCATAAAAAAAAAAGACTTTGGTAAGTTATTTTACATAAATTGGATGACTTTGTTATCCTAAATAATGCAAGAATAACTTTGTTTGGTTTCA